TTCCAAGACTTCTGATGGATGCGTTAAACCACAGATCGTAGGGAACCCTATGCTGTTTTTTTTTCCTTTGTATAACACTATGATCAAATTTAATTCATTAATGAGGCAGGGTAAGAGGTTAACCACGACTAGTAGTGAAGTAGAACAATTGTAGCCACACGCAGCGAGAACAGTTATTTATGAATCACTTCTGAAATTTTCCATGTTAATATTCTCAGGCCGACCGTGGTGGTGGGTTCCAAGTGCCTGAAACTGCAGAGTGTAAAACTGCAGGTTAAAGGGGACTACTGTAATGGGAAAGCGGATCTACTTACCAACGTCACAGCGTCCTTGGGAGGACAGATGAGTAGCTGAATACAGAGCACTTCAGATATTCTGAGACTAGCCAGAGGAGCCTCACACAACAGCCAAGGGCAGAAGCCCCAGGGAAAATCTGAGATGGGCAGAAGGGTGCCAGCCAGAAAGCAGGCGACCATCTAGGCCAGCGAGTCCCCAAGGACCATCCTCATCCTGCTCCTTCCCCCACGCCCCTTGGTCCCCACTGTGCAACCAGGGACACTCACCCCCAGGGCCTCATGAGCACACAGAGCATCATGTGTCCCTGAGTCTGGGCGGTGCAGTCTCTCTGCCTGGAAATGCCCTCGCTCTGCCGCAGCCACTACAGATAAATACGACCCCACAGGATCCCCTTGATTTGGAAATGAGGGGGAAAAAAAAATCTCAATTCACAGTGATACAAGAACAAAGGGAATCAACAGATTTGTGGCAGTAAAGCATTCTACGGACACAAAATTTCTCTCTCTTCCCTTTTTGGGTCTGTTTCCTGGATGCTGATTTCATTCCTAACCCCCATAAAAGGTACCACCCAGCTGTCATCCTCGTTCCAAATGGACTTTCTCTTTCTGGCAATCAATTGGGCAGATGGTCAACTTTCCCATTAACCCGAACATCAGCCCCAGAAAGGTATCGCCTTGTCCCTGATGGGTCCTCCCTGGATGGCCAAAGGGTGGAACACCCCGGACCAGGTGAGCCAGTCCTCCATTCGTTCCCCTCCAAGGTCAGAGCTGCAGAACTTCACGCCACCTACAGAGCCCGAGAGACGCTCAAGGTCTCCCAATGCCAATGTCAACTACGGGGTGTCGAAAGGTACAAACGTCGACCACAACTACCCCTGCAACTCTGCTTCCCAATTTTTACCTGAAAAACTCCTACCCTTCCTTCAAAGCCTCTGTTTTTCCCTGCCCAGTGAATTGCTATATAACACTAGAAAATAAGTTACACGATATTTGAGAGTCCCATAGTCCTCAGCAAAAAAATAAATAAATAAATAAACAAACAAATAAATAAATAAAACGACTGTCCTGTAGAGTTTATCCTACTAAACTCTGACACATCCTAATCTGTAACCAAAAGTTCCTCCAGGTCTCAGTCATCTGCTTATTCCTCTGCATGAAGCCTGTCTCCTGGTACAGAGATAATGCCATGTAACAATTGATAAATGGGTGATCATCCGTATATATTCAGCTACCACACTTTTATTATCTCTATCAGCTACTATCTATATTTATCTTGTGGTCAACAAATCTGCAAGATCCTATTTTTTCTCTCTTTTTTTGTTTTTACATAAACACATTCTAAATCAGCAGTGACACTGTAATTCATATTTTAGACCTAAAAACAAAACTTCGCGTAAAGCCCTACTAAATTTCAACTTGTTTGGGTTTTAAGTCCTGATACCATCATGCAGCCTGACATCATTGGCAGATCTGATTAATAGACCTTCTAGGTCCTCATCCAATCACTAATTAACATGTAGGGACAGGATTGAATGTAGAGTCCCAGATACCACTCACAGAAATCTCTCTCCAGAAGCAAAAAGAACTATCCATCTCAGCTAGAAGTCTTCGTAACGGTATCATCATAAACCAAATCTGATCAACAGAGCTGCTACAGAGATTGTCCCTCAGTTTGTCATCAGAGATTCTGGAATGACAATGTACTTTGTTGGTCCCCTAGTTTTTTGTTTTTTAAATAATAATTAAGTTGATGTATTTGTGTGGGCGATTTCACATTAAAGTCTCCACCGCTGACTTTAAAAAACCGTAGACATTCTAGAAACACGTCCACACGACAGACAGCAGCTTTACTCAGAGTGGCCAGAGCTTGAAGGCAGCGAAGACCCCCCTAGAGCAGGTGAATGGACACACTGTCCTACACCCAGACGATGGGATTGTTTCCTGCTAAGAAGAAATGAGCTATCAAGTCATGAAAAGACACAAAGGAACCTTAAACACATGTTACTTAGTAAAAGAACTCAATCTGAACAGGCTACCTACTGTCAGATTCCAACTATGTAACATTCTGGAAAAGAGAAAACTGGATAAAGTCAAACCTCTGGTGGTTTCCAGGGCTTGGGGGGAGGGAAGGAGGGATCAAGAGGCAGAGACTATTCAGGGCAGAGAAGCTATTCTGTAACAGTGGCTATGATGAATCCACGTCATTATCCATTTGTCCAAATCCACAAAACATTCAACTGCGAGAGTGAACCTTAACTCACACCACGGACCTAGGGAGATAAGGACGAGTCCCTGTCTGGCCATTGATTGTCACAGATGTACCATTCCAGTGGGGGATGCTGTGCCTGGGGAAGGCTATGCCTGTGTGGGGCTGCGGGTATATGGAAATTTCTGGATCTTCCATTCAATTTTGCGGTGATCCTGAAACTTCTCTAAAAAATCAGCATTGATATGGAAGATCCCCAAGGAGACTCATTATTGAGGGAAAATGTTCTGCAGGTCGCAGCTTTACCTGACCCGTGGCAGGCTGCAATCCATCAACCCTGATCACTGCATCTCTCTGATAGGCTAACCCCACTGTCAAGGGCGTGGGAGATCCCGCGTCCAGACTCCCATGTCCCTCAGTCAAGGTGCTTTGCAGAAAAGCAAACAGCTCAGCCAAACACCCCAGACCCGTCATGCCTTGGCAGACTCTTATCTTTGCTAACAGAGCTGATCATTATGAGGGCTCTTTCTAGGGGAGTAAAATTTCTCCATCTGCCTCTCTTTCCTGTCCATGAGCCCTGATTGTGTCCTCTGAAACATTCTTCTCACGCTGGCCCCTCTCTCCTCTGAAGCCTTTGCCCCCCTGTCTGTCCCCAGGTGAGAGTGGGTCTCTTTCCTTCCCAAGTCCATCAATCGCTTCTCCTGGGTCATGGTTTCTGGTCCTTCCTTAGTGACCTGGTCACCTACCCTTAGCCAGGATATTGCTTGGCAGGACTCGGAGGGCACAGGGAGTAAAGACCCAAACAGGGAGAAGGCAGAAACAGGTCAGATGCAAGTACCTCCTCCAAGAACCTCAAGGTCAAAAAGAACCTAAGAAATCACATGACCCTTTCTAGGGGGTGATGTGGAGATAGTCGGGGGGTGCTGGGGAAACCAGCTATGAGTGATTGAACTTCCTGGAGGTGGACAGAGGATACAAGCAGAGAAAATCTAATGTGGTTCCTGCAGAGAGTTCATAAAGCAGGGTCCACGTTCTCTGTGGCATCTGGATTCTGTTTTCTGCTCCGAGGAAACGAGGGGAACTGTTTTCTCAGCTGCACCAAACCTCACTTCAAATGCAACCGAGGGTGGACAGCCAACATCGGACACCTCTGCTTGGGATGAGGCTTCACCCGGGAACCAATTATCACCAGGAAGAGTGTTGGAGAATTAGGGAAACTAACCTTTCCTAATCCGCTGTCTAACGGAAACCTCTCTGCAGCCAATCAATAAGGGCCGTGGAGGAGAGACACACGACAAGTCCCCCTCCTGGCCTGCACATGAGTAATTAAGGCCAGTTTAATGAGATTGCCGAGAGCTGGTGTCTGCAGGAGACAGAGACGGCAGTATCCAGAGAGCGGCTCTGCAGGAGGAAGCAGATCTCAGAGCAATAGATGACGAGTTGGCACTGTTGGGGGTGAGTCACCCCTGAGTGTCTCTGGCAAATGATGGGGAGCAGCAGCCTGAATCCACAGAAAGGTAACTGCGGTTCCCTGTCACAGCTGACAGCCCAGGGAAGGTGGAATGGGAAAATAGAGACTTACGGTGTCTGAGATCCGCTCCCTCTTCACATTTCTGAAGAAAACTCCTGCATCTCGCCCTCCCTCTTTTAAAACGGTGAGAAGAACTTGGGTTTGAACACCAGACAGACGGGAGTCTAAAGTCCAGTCCTGCCGCTGAGAAGCTGTTCTACCCTGAACAAGTACTTGGCCTCCTGGAGCCTCGGGATCTTCTTCGGTGAAGTGGAATAACACCTTGAAGAACCTCTGAAGGATCTCACGAAGGATCAGTGGCTGATGCACTTAAAGAGCTAAGCAGAGCGCTTGGCTCCCAGCCAACATTGGACACATCACGTACTCCCAGCTATGAGTGTCTGTCCCTCACATCTCAGACGTCACCTCCGGGTAATCATGGTGTTGTCAAATGGGCGAGAGATGAGAACACTTGGCATGAATCTGAGGCCCAAAATGGCAGCTGCCACTCTTCCCCTCGACCAAAATAAACAAACAAACAAACAAATAAATAAATAAATAAATAAATAGAATCTGCAGAAAGGCATCAGGAAAGAATTTAAATGTAGTAAACTGCTTTCCAGGGTCCATGTGGTGTGAGGTGCCAGGGTGAGGGGTGGAAAGCAGGTAGGGTGGGGAGGGGTGGATTTTCAGCCCATGGTTTGGCTTCTGTCTATTGGGGAACCTCTGTTGCTAGGAAATGCAGCCTCTGGGGCCCAAGTCCCTTCCAGTGGAATTGCTTCCCCACGGGTCCACCCTCGGGGAGCAGCTAGGCAGCCCTCGCCTGGTTACCTCTCCCAGGTGGAAAGCATCCAAGGCACAGCCAGAGCAACCAGGGGTGCTGGCAACCCCCGTCGGAGCCATATGGTCTGCTGCACATTCCACATAAATTAGCTTCTGGCACCGAGCAAAAACCAAAGGACCTGAAATAATTCTGCATTTTAATAGTGGACTCCCTTTGTGAGGCCTGTCTCCCGCCACCCAGAGGCGATCAGCACGTGCCCATGCCAAACGCATCCCGGTCAGCCGGCCGTCCGGTGGTTTCAGATCAGCTCTTTCCCGTCCCCGTCCTACATAACCAAGTCCGTCCCTCCTTATTGCCAAATGGCTCCGGGAATGCCTGCGAGAGACGGCCCCCGCCGAACGGTGCTTCTGCTTTCGGGAATCAAGGAGCGCGATCTGAATCTCACCAAGATAAACTCGCGGCTGGGTCAATACAACGAGTGGTCATTGAGGGTGCCCTGCGCTTTATCTATCTTTAGGCCTCGTTCCTGCAGGGGAGTGGAAATGTATCACCTGAGTGAGGAGCAGCCAGGGGCCTGCGGGGAGGCGGGGAGGAAGGAGCATTTGTGAGCGGCCTCCTGCAGGGAACAGGAGCCAACCCAGCCAGGCCCTGGTTGCTGGCAGAAAAGCCACGCTGCAGAAACGGAGGCAATATAAAAGGAAAATCACCCCTTCTGGCACTGTCTGGGGCCTGGGGTTCACGGGTGGTGCGAGTCCTGCCAGGTTTCTGGTGATCAGCTCCACGTTTTATGCAGGGCGCTGGGGGCCACCCGGGAGAGGGGCTTTCCAGGGTCCCTCCACCCTGGATGGTGCCTGGAAACCGTGTCTCCAGCTCTCTCTCCCCCCAGGTTCACAGTTATGAGACCCTTCTGTCCTTGGGAGTTAGGGGGTGGCCTGCGGTCTCTGTGAGCTCAGGAACTGGGGCAAAAGGGAAGAGGATCACTCCCAGCAGAAGCCGCAAGAGCCGGAGCGCACTGCGGGATGACGCTCTCTCAGCGGTGAGAGCATTAGAGGCCGGCCAGAGCGGAGCCCAACGTGAAGGAGAGAGAGAACTACGCCCCCCCTCCCCCCTGTCTGGGGGCCACCCGCCTCTCCAGGGGGACTCACGGCTCCCTGCAAGGCCAGAGCGCCGTGCTGCTGTCTCCCAAATCCTCCGCCCAGTTTCCTTGGACCCTCTTTCTTCCCTTATGAGATTCTCATTTTTTTTTTTTCTCTTTACCTTCTAGGACAAGAAATTAAATGGGAAGACGTCAAGTCCCTTGCCTGAAGGCTCCATACCAGTGAGTTAACTTCTTAAGTCGTCTTCACTTTGCTTTTTTTTTAAGTACTATTTTCTTTTACATTGACACTTAATAATCGCATATGTTTATGCATATCATGTGATATTTCGATATTCATCATATTTTTGTGGCGAGTGTATTTAAAAGTCCCTCTTTAGGTGTTTCGAAATATATGGTAGATTAATACTCTTCCTTCCTTCCTCCCTTCCTGTCTTCAGTACTGGGAATTGAACCCAAGAGCGCCCTACCATTAAGCTGCATCTCCAGTCATTTTATTTTATTTTATTTTATTTATTTATTTTGAGTCAAGTTCTTGCCAAGTTGCTGAGGCCAGCCTTGAACTTGGGATCCTCCTTCCTCAGCTGGAAAGTAGATGAGGCTGACCGCGAGAGGACTGTGAGAAGGGAGCGTCCCCCAGGGTTTCATTCAGAAGCACTGACCTTCTTTAGGAAAGGCCACTGTCACCTGGCTTTGCCCATGTCACCTGGCTTTGCCCATGTCACCTGGCTTTGCCCATGTCAGCCAGCAGACTGGCCCTTGCCTGCTCCAGATGGGATAGCTCACGGCCTCTGTTCCTTCTCTCTCCTTTCCTGGGGCCAGCCCAAGGGGTAGGTGATCAACTCTACCAAGGACTTGTGACGTCAGCCCTGGAAAGTGGGCCTGCAAGTGCTGACATCAGGTCAAGGCCAAGTCACCTGAGATGCGTGGCCTTGGAGAGTCTCACGGGTCGCAGGCAGGGCTTCCTCAACACTCCTGCCCACCTTGCCTGGGGTCTCTTCAGATGGGGCCAGGGGTCCTAGAAGGGGGACTCCCACGGGGTGGGTTCAGGTTGCAGATTAGAAACGGGGAGCCTGGAGGGGAGTCCAGCTTCTTCTCCGTGCCCTTGAAGAGAACCTTTAACCTTCCCGAGACTCAGTTTCTTCCCCGTCACCTGCTGGACAGGGTGGCGTTCTCTATCTTTTTTTTTTTTTGTGCCCTGGGCTGAAGCCGTCCCTGGACAACCTACTGTCCTCTAAACGCTGCTTCCTATTTCTCTGGGTGTCACCATGCTCAGGCACAGCACGAAACTTCCCAGCGCCCACTTTGCACTTGACCTTCAGCGCTGCGGGTGGAAGAAACCCGGCCACGAACGCTTCACGGTCGGGTCATTGAGAAGGCCAAGTGGCACTCGGTGATTCCACTGGACGGGGACCAAGACCCCAAGCCAGGAGTTGTTAACATCATAGACCAAAGACTGAGTTTGGCCCCAAAATATAATCCGCTCGCTCCATAATGATGAAGCAGAAGACGGTCCACAGCTACATCCTCAGTACCTAGAACAGGACCTGGCACCCAAGAGGTGTTCGATCACCACTGACTAAATTGATGGATGGAATAAATAAAGGTATCAGAAGATTTTGCAATAAGTATCTACATATCTAGTTTGTTCTGAAAAAAAAAAATCAGAGAAATTGAGGGGAATATAAGAAAATAGTGAGCTGGGTTCAAGGAGTAGCTACCTCCTGAAGATAGGAATTGTTTTGCTCTATTTTACCCTAGTCCTCACTACTCCCTATTACCCTCTACTGGGCCTACTTCGTCTCCATCCATCACTTACCAGCACACAGGCAGTTAAATTTCTTGACCATGACCTAAGATACTGTGAGAACTTTCCCGGTTAAGTCCACCCTGGTCCTGAAGAGGGTCATCCAGGGGCGTCAGGATTATCCCATGCATTGGTAGCCATACAACATCCTTCTAAGAGCCAAGGCCTCATTTCTCGTGTCTGAGGGCTACAGCAAAGTCCAATGTCACAAACCCATCCTGTACCTTGTCGTTCCTTTGCTTCTAACATTCCCAAAACGTTGAACTTAAATCCTACCAAAAAAAAAAAAAAAGTCAAAAGAATCCAGTTCAGTTTTTCTATGAGTCTCTCCAGCAGTTTTTCCCCCACCAAATGCTTTGCAAACGCGAAGTTTGTTGTTATTACTTCATTTTCGACTGGGCCATTGCCTGCAAGAAATCTACGGGGGAAGGAAAACGCACAGTCGATTTAGCTGATCAGGAAAACCAAATGGCTTCACACCAGATTAGTCAAAGATCTTAACGTATTCCAAATACTCCCGTCCCTGCAGAGGGACCCCAAGATGAATGCAAAGGAGGTGCTCACTGACCAAAACACAAACGGAAATCTAAAGGGCACAGACCCATTGCCACTGGGGGAACCATTAGGCATGGTTCTCGTGGCCATGAGGACAGCAGATGGGAGGTGCTCAAGATTTGAGGAAGAGAGGAAGGATTTCAGGGCAAGCAGGGCCAGGTTGGAGGTCTATGGCTTACGACTGCAAATCCTCATCTTTCCCCAGCCTCAGTCTTATCTTCCCTGTACGTGCCAATGACCATAGTCATCACCTCTTCGGCTGGCATGGGGTTCCATCAGGTGGACGAGGTTTCAGTCTTAACACTTGGTAGAGCATCCAGCACATAGTAAATGCTCAGTAAATGTTAGCTATGCTTTTCTTAGAGAAACAGCATGAAATCTGCCCCAGAGACCAAGTGAAAAACTTGATAGATGCCCGTGACCAGTCACAGACTGTTTCCACCTACCTGCCACGTGCAGGGATTCTACGGAGCCCCCAAGGTAAGAAAGTGACCTGGGTATCAAAACTCTAGTCGGAGAGGCACATTAACCGCAGTCAACAGACCATTTGATAAGTAAGTACAGAGGAGGTTCAGGGCAGAATTACTTTGCCAGAGGGAGTGTGAGCTCACAAAGACAAATCTACAGCGACCGTGAGATTTGTGGATGCCGGGGGTGGTGGGTGGGGATGGGAGTTGATTAGGATAAGGCAGGAACAATCTTTGAGGGGAGAAGAAATGTTCTGAATTGGATTGTGGGATGGTTGCAGCACTCTAAAGTTTCTAAGCATCTTTGAATGGGGGCACTTACAATGAAGGAATTTTTTATACGTAAATCTGATCTAACAAAGTTTTTATTTTCTTTTTTTTTAAGGTGTCCAGAGGCGGTACTATGGATGGCCTCTGGATAGGAGGCATTCTCTAGAGACAGGAAGGACTCGGCTCCCTTCCATACAGAGGTCTGGCAGAGAAGCAAGACCATGGAGCTCCCTCCACGAGGGATCAGCAACCTGGCAGCTGGAAGGAGACATGAAAGATGGGGGTGAGAAGGTGGGTCAGGGCTTCACACTGGTTTTAAACCACGGGGCGGAGGCTCTCCAGCAACACAGCCTCCGCGTATGTCATGCCCGGCCTCTGCCTTCTGGTCTTCTCTCTCTTGCATTCACGGAGGGCTTTGGGCTTTGCAAAAGACACATCAGAGCTGACTGTTTGAAGCCACAAATCCCCTCCCAGGACATGAGAGCAGAGCAGAGTGTTTGATTTCTCTGATGTCTCCTCCTTCAAGCTCCCCCTTCGCTGAGACTTAGGGGATTTGCCGCTTCTTTGCTGAAACGACACAAGAGGTTTTTCCGCTTAATCCCCAGATCTTTAGAGTTGGGGCTGCCTTCGGTTTGTGTTTCAAGAGCATCACAGAGTAATCTGTGACACTGAGCTCCGAGCTCTCAGCACAGGGAGCGAGCTGGGAGGATTCGGGATGCTCAGAAAGCTTTCAAAATGAGGCCAAGAGCAGCACCCGCCAGCGCTCCCGGTGAGGTCACGGTCTCAGCTTCTGCTTGCAGACAGGGCTGTACTGAGTAACCCCGTCCTGCTGGCTCATGATGCTCGAACCCTCAGCCCCACTGGGCCAATCCAATAGGCTCTTCAGAACTGAGCTAGGAGCTGTTAATTATTCTGGGACGGTCACTTGGACCACACCCCATTACCCCATGTGGAAGTAGGAGCTCTGTGTATTTCTTTTTATTTTTTTGGTACCAGAGATTGAGCCTAGGGAACTCAACCACTGAGCCCCATCCCAGCCCTATTTTGTATTTTATTTAGAGACAGGGTCTCACTGAGTTGTTCAGTGCCTCCCTTTTGCTGAGGCTGTCTCTGAACTTGCAATCCTCCTGCCTCAGCCTCCGGAGCCACAGGCATGTGCCCCTGAGCCTGGCAGGAGCTGTGTGTATGTTAAAACTCTGTCATCGCTCTGCAGAGAGCGTTACAGTTGACCTCCAGCATCTATCCTGACGACTGTCTGGTAACTGTGTCTTCTCCTCTGAGACTGGGTTTGCTTGATTCTATCTCTGGGATTCATTAAATGACCTAGATGCTTCTGAGAAATGCCTCTCGTTGATGTAAGCAAGTTGAAAACGGATAACTTGGGATCAAAGCATCCCGAGTCCAAGAATGGTTTCTTTGAACCACAATGGGACATTAACACCAGACCCTACCCTCCTGCCGGACCAGGGATCATGACATTCATGAGCCAACATGGAAGAGGTGAGAGGCTCCTCAGTCCACACAGCAGCACAGAGTTCACAGGATTCTTTCAGAAGCAGGTGTACGAGGAGACGACTGTGGTACAGAAATCACCAATTCACAGACAACCCGGGAGAGGGGTCTTGCTCACACGATCTGATGGCATTGAAAGATTTTGGTTTTGCTTAAGTGAGTTAATATAGGAAAATGGGATAAAATATATAAAACATTTAATATCATATATATAAGTACCACCTAGTGTTGATCAATAAATCTAATTATTATCTCGAGGACAATGGGAAGTACCCAAAAAATGGGTTTTGGATTTTGAAGAGCCACCCCCGCCTTGATTGTGGGTGGAGAACAGATTGGTCTGGAACCTCCCTGGGGACAGGAGGCAGATGCAAGTCTATTGCTGTCTTCAACACAAGAGGAGCTAGTCCCTACGGAGAGGAGTCTCAATGGGTACCAACAACTCAGACAGACATTCCAGGGGTGACACTGGCGTGATTCCATGGCGGTCTGGCTCTATGGAATCGCCACGCCAGCAGCTCAAAGATGACTTTGGGATTTTCTACTGAATCACTGGGTGGTTGGCCCAGTCCTCCATGAAGACAGGGAAGAGCAGAGAGAGCAAGGTGGTCCCTGGAAGGTCATGACGTTAGCCTTTGGGGACGATGAGTGGGAGATGAATTTAAAATATCCCCGTGAAGTGGCCAAGCCAGCATTTGGGTATCGATGTCTGAAGCTGAGTTGGGGAATAATCTAAAAAGGAAACCTTTCAGGTTATCACTGTTCCAAAGTGGAAGCCGTGGGTAGACGTGGGACGCTCCGCAGGGGTGTCCAGGGTCACATTCCCAGCAAAAGCCAATGGCATCTACTTCAGCGTGATGGATGCTACCGCCCACCTAGAACGCTCCCCCCCTATGCCTCAAACCCAGCTCGATAGTATTTACTTATTGAACAAACCAATCAATCCATCAATTCATGGAGGGGATTGAAAGCGAGAGTAACCCATTGGGTCCTTCTGCAGAAACACTGAGAGAGAACCACAGCCTGCAACCAACCTTTATTTCCTGAATTCTGGACTCTGTTATCTAATCCCCCTCCCCCATCCACACACACACATACTTTTTTGAAATTTTGGAAAATAAATGTACAGCCAGAATTTGCAGGTAAATACAACATATTGAAGCCTGATTCCAAAAACACAAACAAACAAAAAAACTTAATTTAGTTTTAGAAATCTGTTCACTACGGCTCTGCCAAAATGTCTCCAGCTTTGATAGATGCTTTGAGTTGCAGGCAACAGAACTCCCAGAGGCTGTCTCTGTTTAGCAGCCCCTGAAAGACATGACAAGCCAAGCCCCGAGCCTTCCAGTTTGGACAGAAGGAAACAGGAAAGAAGCCGGCGAGCTTGGCTGAGAAGGGGGCATTTAATAAGTTTGGCTAATACAAAGGCAGAACAGAGCCCTGAGTATTGCATTTGCCAATGAGCAGCCGCTCTTCCTCCGGAGGGCTGATGGCTGTGGTCATCGGGCGATTTGTGTTTGCATCAGAGAAATTTATATGATGGTTCAGATGCCGGACACTCTAACAGGCCCCTCAGAGGAAAAAACATTCCCCTGTTCCCATCCTTCTGCCATAGCTGAGCTGCTCTCCGGGTGATGCACACAGCCCGGGGGGGGGGGGAATCATTTTATATAGCCAGGGTTCTTAAATATCCATGGGCAGAAAGAGCACCTGAAAACCTGGATACAACCTAGCTCTGTGGGCCCCATGCTCAGAGGCTGGAATTCAGTCTCCCAAGACTGCACTTCCGACAGGCTCTAGGGAATGCTGATGCTGCTGACTCCGAGAGGAGTGTGAGCATCCTGTTTAACAGCGGTTACCTCGTCAAGGGCACGGACATTCAGGTATCCAGGGCGCCCGGGGCAGGGCCAGGCCACAGTAATCGCTCCATAAATATTTGCTGAATCAGCAATCCTCTCTCTTGAGGGGTCTCCATATGTTTTGATGGTCTGTTTGGGATTCTGTAACAAAATACCAAAGACTAGGTAGCTCACAGTCGACAGAAAATCATTCCTTACGGTTCTAGAGGCTGGGAAGGCCAAGGACAAGGTGTCAGCAGATCAAGCATTCTCAGGGAATAGCAAGAGCAAGGCAGCTCTTTGGGGACCACCTACATAAAGACACAGATCCCCAATGTTTCTGATCCTGCTTCCTGACACCATCAGGAGGGTGATGAGATTTCAACATCAATCATTTGGGAAGGATGGTAGCATTCAGACTGCAGGGGCCAGATAGCAGAAGAGAGAACCCAAGACACACCCACAAAGTAGTGCTATTCCCAGAACATGGGCATGAGGTGCCCAGGGGGTCCCTGCTCCAGGCTCTTGGCAACTCAAATTTTCTAGAAGTGAAAGCACAATCCATAAAGCAGAGTGGGCCGAGCAGGAGAGCTGGCTTCAAGGCCCGGCGTGCGCAGAGGACCTTGCGTTTATCAGGCTGTGCTAGTTCTCCCCTGGATGGACCTGGGGTTGATTGACACCTGAGCCTCACATCATTTCTTTTCTACTGTGCATGTGTTTAAGATTCTTTTTTTTTCCCCCCTGAAAAATGCACAGGAGAGGAGTAAATCACAATGCTAATGTTGGTTCACTAGCAACAGGTTGACTTTCGGTCAGTCCCTCCAGCTACGGCGCATGCCCAGGACTGGGGACTCCCCCGCCTCTCGGGTCTTGAATTCCCATTGTGGTCCTGTGCACGGGGTTGGAGGAGCACATCAGGGAAGCCAGGGGTCTTGGGAGAAAAACAAATGAGGTGAGTGTGGTGTGAGCTGAACTCACAGAGGGCTTGGTTTCCAAGATGGATTGTGGATCCCTGTCGGGTGTGGTAACAGTCTGGCTTTCATGCAGCCAATGGGAACCCAGCTCAACAGAACTGAGCTAGGAGGCACCCATATAGCTTGCGATTAAATTCTCATATGATGAGGCAAGTGCAGAGGTGGGGAGAACATCTTGGGGTCATTACTACCATAATCTAGGTGAGGATCCACCACGAACTGTGGTGGAGCACAAGTGATGAGAAGAATCATATCCTCAACAGTGATGTTATGAACATGGGCCAGGGGCTGGGGCTGGGGCTCAGTGGTGGAGCGCCTGCCTAGCATGTGTGAGGCACTGGGTTCCATCCTCAGCACCACATTAAAAAAATAAAATAAAGTTATTAGAAATAAAAAGGGACTGGTCCTTTTTCTCTGTCCCCTGTGTATCCAAGCTTCTTAAAAGACTTGTTTGCGTACTGATTTCAATTCTTCTCCTCCATTTAAGCTCTGTGTTAGTGAGTCTTGCTTTGCTGTGACCAAAATATCCAACTAGAACAAATGAGAGGAGGAAGTTTATTTCAACGCATGGCTTCAGCGGTGGGGTCCATGGTCAGTGGAGACGGTCGCTCTGGGCCCAAGATGAGGCAGAACATCATGGCGGAAGCTGTCCTTACTCATCCCTCAGATTCCCACCTCATGTCACCTCCATGGGCTTTATTCTTCAAGTCCCACCCGACAGCTCCTGCTCTATGCACCTCCAATAGCTCTTCTTGCAATTTTTAACTCTTCCCACGTGTTCCGGTTGAGATCTGGAACGTGCCCCCAAAGGTCATGTGTTGAAGGTGTCCCCAATGCATCCATGACCAGAGGTGGGGCTTTGGGGGAGGTGACTGGATCCTGAGGGCTCTGAGCTCACCCGTGGTCACTGATGCTGAATTGACCAGTGGGAGCGGGTGGAAACAGTGGGCAGGTGGGGCACGGTTGGAGGGAGTAGGCTACTGGGGACGTGCCTTTGGGGATGATATTTTTGTTCCTGGCTCTTCCCTCCTTTCCCCTCCCCTCTCTCTGCCTCTCAGCTGCCATAACCCCACCCCCGGCACGCACACCTGTCTCCCATGATGTTTCTGCCTTGCATCAGCTGACCATGCACTGCAACCATGAGGCAAAATAAATCTCTCCTCCTCTAAGTTGTTTTTCTCAGGTGTTGGTCACAGTGACAAAAAGCTGACAAATACAATACGTGTGCTTAAAAATGTAGCGCCGTCCACCCTCGCCTAGGCTGGGAACTCACACAGCCATTATCCACGGTGTTTGTCGCCACTGGGAACCCAGGGCCTGGCATACATTCAATATCTAGTAAGCATTGCTTAAATGAACGAACAAATGAACGGATATCATCCGCCTTGGCGTACCCCAAGCGTCTCCCTCTGTAACATGGTGACAGTGCCATGTGCCCTTTTGTGTGTCTACCACTTGAGGGATCAAATAAAACCATGAGGTTGCCTACGATCTGATTACATCTGTCTTCTCTGAGAAAAACTATGCTTCCCTTACTTGCTCCAGGTATAAAGTTACAATCCAACCCATGTGTGTTGAATTGGGATGCTGTTATTAGACGTCTGCAGAAGAGAAAGACAAAAGTCGGTGCCGGCAGCTTGGTCCACACACAACACCCCCCACACCCGCCCATCGGATCTCACACAGATGCCTCGGCCTGATCAGAAGGTTTGGAGTAAGCCTGGTTTGGGGTGAATCAATCAATTCACAGCCCAGAGCCAAGCTTTTTCACCCTGAACAAGTTTCTTGTTTCTTACCTGTTTGTTTTATTTTTTTTTTGAAAGGCATCCGAAGTTTGTCAATAAAGGTGAAGTTTATTGCTTGAAGGTCTGGCCAGCCAGAGAAACAGTTGCAGATTATAGAAACTCTGTCATCTCCCAGAGAAGACTAATAATTCCAAATATCGACTTCACACGCACAGCAAAGGTGAAAGCTAAGGTGTTGGAGGAGTGGTCGGGAGGCACACAACGGGTCTGTCACGGTGGCCAGTGGGAGGAACGCACACAGAGCCTTGGAGGGCAGACGTGCCTAGATTTGAATTCTCCCTCTCCTATGAGGAGCTATGTGACAGCATGTCAGAAGGTTCCCGGGCACGGCTGGACCTCTGGTCAGTGGGTCACGTATGCTGTGGTCACCTGACATGTGACAGGTTTTGCTTCCTCCTTCCCATCTCAGGCAAGGCAAGATCACTATGAAATTTACCCTCAAGATGATATGGATGATTTTCCTTTTCTGAGCGCGGGCTACATGTCAAGAATCCAGCTAAGCCCTCAGTGTGCCATATTTCACTAAATCCTTCCAACAACCTCTTTTTCCGACAGATCACAGAACTGTGCCTTGGAGAAGCTCAATAACTTGCCCAGCCTTGCGAACAGAGCCAGGGCTCCAACCCAAGCTTGTTTTAAGCAGATGCTCGAGCTGTTTAACCACTAGGCAGCCCTGCCTCCTTCGCCACGTCCCAAGACAACTGGTGTTGAGAAAATATAAACTGGTGTTGTTAATTTATATTTTAATGGTAACATTCCCTCACCTGGAAATCTATGCTTATGCAAAACCAACAAGGAAAATTTAAGGGTGGAAAGATCAGGAGACATCAGCTAAGGCCGTGTTAAAAAAAAAAAAAATCAGCCAGGCTGATCTGATATCATGATGGAAAGGAAATTACTAGAAGCTCACTGTCCTAAAAAAAAAAAAAAAATTGAACTTTTTGTAAAAAGATTGCTGCCAGTATATAAATCAAGTCCCCTTTCTAAATTATACTCTCTTTAGGTTGTGTCCTTAATGACCCTCCACTGGCTCCCTGTCCCATATAGAGTGGTGTGGATCTCTTGCTTGACACAGTTGCAGAAAACTCTGGTCTCCCACAGCCCTCCCAGAGCCCAGCGCCTTGGACTTCTCCAGTTGCCTGAGAAGCTCTGACCCCTCCACGCACAAGGCCCAGGCACGTACATCCCACCCCAACTGTCCCACTCATGAAACACCCAGCCAGCAGCACACACATACCTGCACCCACAAACGTACATACCACACATGCACGAATACCTTCACACACCACCGGCACATCTGCACGCACTGCCCTGCCACACACATGGGTCTGCATTCCATGTTCTCTCAGCCTGGTGACCCCCTCCTTGCTTCTCCACCTTGCAAAACTCTCCTCGAACTCCAAGGTTTACTCATGTCATCTTCTCTAAACCCTTTCTGAAAATATTGAAC